TTTCCACTTACATATACAATTACTTACATATACAAGACACCCTATGTGACAGTACATACAGTACTTCTAGTCTTATTTTAATCTCTGCTACCATGTTCTTATACTCTTTAGAAATTTAATCTTTGCACCATAAGCTTTACTTCTAAGGCTTCTCCTCTCTGAACTTCATGACTTGGCTTTCTCTTTATCCAGTCTGTCTACAAATCCATTAAAAAAATCTACCACTGCTTTGTTGTTGTATATTTAGTAGTAAGGTTAAAAACCATCAACAGAATTAGCACAAACTATGCTGCAACAGGCACTACCCTAAGCATTGGGTAAAGAGAATTTTCATTTACTCCTCCCCACAATCTTGTAAGGTGGGTACTACAGGTAAGAAAGCTGAGAAAAAGTTCAGTAATTCGCCCAAGGTTCACAGTTAATAAAGGCAGGTCTGGGATCTGAACTCTAAAATAGACTCCAAAACTCCTTTTCTTTAACTGCTCACTTTTTTTCAGTAGTTTTAGTTTTCCTTTCTCTCTCAACTAAATTATTGCTAATTGCCTTTTGAAGCATTTATGAAATAAGATCTATATCTAAACTGTTCAGAAAAGGCTTAACACCTCAGTATTCATTCTCTTAAACCTTTGAGAACTGTGCAATAAAACATTTCCTACTAAAATTTCAGAAGAAAACTACTACCCATCACATAAAAAAATCATCTGCAAAATTCAGTGTTTTGAAATTTTTACACTTGGTATAATTTCAGTTTCAACTTGCCCATTAATTTCCCTAATGTTTGCCACACTAAAAATTTCAATTTCAGCAATTCTCAAAGGATGAAACACTAAAAGTGCAGAAAACACAAAGAAGCATGTCGTATTTTTCTATTAATTGTTGGGTGGATGAATTGGCAGAACAGCTCCTGAACTGTTTTTGTAAATATACCAGGAAGAGGTATTTTACACTCCCACTTGTATCTGCAACATTCTTCCTACTCTTTTCTTTTTCCTTTCCTATTTACCACTTAATGTCCCTACAAACACCATGAGGCACTAATTTTTAACTTCTTGTTTCAATTTATCTCTCTTTTTATAGAATAGACTAAGGAGAAGGTGGAAAAACAAAGTAAAACAGAAAATGCCAAAAGGCAATCAAGGCAGAAGCTGTTTCCTCTCTCCTTTATACATTCACTGGACAAACCGATACATTTCTCAGCTCTGTGAGAGAACGTGAATTTCTGCTGGAAAAGGGCACCCATATTGTATGTAACACATACAAGATTTACAACTTAACAAAAGTCACTTCATCTCACTATCAACCACAGACAGCCTTCTTAAAGCCCTATAAATGAACTTACAAAGCCTTGAAAATAAGCAATTGACAGAGTTCAAGGCACATAATAAAATGTTTTGCAACTTAACACTGAGGTCAGCAATACCTCAGTGAACCAAGGAGCCATAACTGAAAAACTCCAGAAGCTGAACTCTAATCTAAACACACATCCCTAAAAAATAAAATTAAAACATAGCATCACAGGTTTAAGAGCTGAAAAAGAAATGGCTTCCACCAAAAATATCGTGGTCAGGATAATAAACCACTAATCCACAGGAGTGTTTTGAGAAATAATAACTGACATTAAAAAAAATCCTTGCCACTTCTCTATTATGTACAGTAATCTAGCGATCAAGATGATATAGTTTATATACTATCTGCTCTGTGCCTCAAATGAAAAATAGGCATAAAATCCAAGCCAATTCTGACACTTGAGTTCACAGTAGGGCCACAAAACTGTACCAAGACCAGAAGGATCTTCACTTAAATGCCAGATCTTCGCACTGTCAACCGTCTTTCCAGAGTTGATCTTTCAGTGCATATAGCATTAAGTGTTACAAAGCAGCCACAGATTATATCCAGTGAACAATGAAGGCAACAGTATCATCCTCATCATGCCCATCCCTCAGGTTATTAGAAATAGGTTCAAGAAATATTTTCAGGACTTACCTGTCAACCTTTCTGTTCAATAATTTTAGCAAAATATTTTTACATATGGCTTTTATCATTTTCGGGGGGGGGGACATAAAGTCATTTGATTTATCAAATAGTTCTGATCTAACCATACCAACTTAAATTTTCAATGGATCAAATGGATCAACTACAAATACTGAAACAGAAACAAAAAGATGCAAAAGCTAAAAAATAAGTTTCTTCCTCCTCATTCCAACACATAAAACTTGAACTTAATTCAAGATATTTGAATCAATCTGGAAATGTTTTAGAAGAATCTTTGACTGTCTAACGGAAGTCATTTTTATTCTGCATCAGTGGCCAACCTTAAAAATTCAGAAGGTGGGATTTAAACACTAATTTGTTTTGTTAATATTGTAGTATGTCAACCCAGTTGGGCTCCAGTTTTTTTTCCTATGAAACTGGCACACACAAACACTCTTGGTAGGTACACTTATGCTACTAGAACTGCAAGCCCTGATCATGAAAAAAGTTTCTAATGTCTAGAATGTTGGGATCATTTTGACCCAGTTCTAGATAAAATTCGTAATTGAGGACCAAAGAACTTACTTTCACGTTTATGAAATATCCAGGTAATGACTCAAAAGTCAAAACGTAGAGAGTTACATGTTTGAAAATTTAAAGTTTTAAAGTGAAGTGTCTCTGTTAAAAGTTCCCTGCAAACTACACTACACAGTGCTGGCTGCAGGGGGGAAAGAAAAACAAAGGGAAAAAAAAAGGTCACCAACCTGAATTAAGTTCACAAGGCGACAGTGACAGTATTTTCTTAATAACCACCTCCCTCCATCCCCCAACAAAAAAACCCAGACTGATTAGGATTAAAAACTGGACACCAAAGAATTCCTGGAGTACAATCTTAATCGGGGGGGGGGGGGTTGAAACCCTCCCCACAAAATTTAGAGAAAGGTAACTTTCTGTAAATACTAATATCAAGTATAATACTAAAATAAACTCTTAATACGAAAATGGACTGAGTTCATCTCAATGTTGAGGAATTTTTTTTTTTTTTTTTTTACTCTACTAAACCCACATGATACATTTAGGACTCATAATTATCCAAAGATATTTCAAGTAGCAAAAAACAGTTTCTGTGTACCGGACAGGTGAGATACTACTGAGATGAGTTAGCTCAGATCAAAAATGGAGAATGCAGCACTGCACCTGAACAGAGGTGTCTGAACAACAGAGCACAGCCTGCCTTCCAGGCCTTGCGTTACTCCATTTACTCCAAGACTAAGCTGCTCAAATCAGGAGTCATCAAAATGACACACATTAAAGAAGTTTTCTCTATAACATCCGAAGTCTCTGGTGAACTCCAACGTAAAACCCACTACCACACGACACAAAAAAAACTAAAGAAAACAACACAAAAGCTACAGGTGGAAATATGTCTAAAGGTGATCTGAAGATCCTCTGGAACATTTTAGTAAGTGCAAAGGAATACAACGCTTGATATGTGTAACAATGTTGAGGGGGGAAAAAAAGGCAAGTAAGAGAAAAAAAAATCCGTGAAGACTACAGAAAGTCCGGGGAATAAGAATAGATCAAAGTTCTCACACTGCCAATTTTACAAGTCTAAAGTAAAGAACTTAAGCAAAAATCCTCAATCTTTGCAGGTTATCTGAAACTCAGGACACATTTTTCCCATAAAAGCAAAGAATCCAAAGCATTTGCCATATCCTTACATTTTCACCCTCTGAAACGAAGTCTACTTAGAAACATGCTTTAGAAGTTCTCTACAAACTCCTAGGGTACATTTAACTCCATTATGCACTCTCACTGGCAGATGGAGGGATGACGTTGAGTTAAAGAGATGCTCCGGAGTAAGGGGGAACATCTTGTGGACTGTCAGATGGCCAGCCATTCTTCCTCTTCATTATCCTGGCACCTCAAACAACTACGACGGCAAAAGAGAAGATCGCTAGCCATCAAGACAGCACCAAACTAATTATAAGAAGGGGATGACGGAGGGAAGTCTCCCCGAATTTCCCTTGACAAAAGGGTTTTAGTCCACAACTGAGTGAAGTTAAGAATTGTAGAGCTTTTTTCACACTCGAGTATGGATCTCCAAATAGGTTTAAAGCATAAAAAGACACACACAACTACCGAACCTAACACACATTTTAAACTTTTGTATGATCAGTTTATCTTTGCAGTTCATGACTGGGGTGCTTACAACTTCTAATTTTGATTTCCAACTACAGAACTCCACACAATCGGGTATCTCCACCCCCCTCCCCCCCCCCAAGAGAAAGTGACTACAAACTGCAAAGAAAATGCCTCTGCTCTCTCCCAACCTAAAACCCCAGTTTCAGACATTTTGGTCTCACACGAAAGAAACGGGAGATGTAAAATGAACTGCGCTCCATATTGATTCTTAACGCAAATAAAAAGGGGGGAAAAAAACCCCTAGGAATGGTAGGTAAAATAATCGGAACCAAATTTCAGCTTTGACATTAAACCTTATCACACCAAACCTGAAATCCTGGATCACACACACACACACAAATAAAACCAAGATTTTTTAAACCCTCGTCCTCAACAGAAAATCTTGTTCTTGTGCCAAACAGAGAAAATTTTGAAAAGGAAGAGTGAAAAGTAGAGAAAACAGAATAAGTGCAATCAAGGAGAAAGGATTCGCAATTCCTCATTTCTCAACAACAACAAAAATTCAGTAAAATTGCAAAGCCTTACACATTAATAAAATGCCCTGCTAAAAATTAAACTGCACGGAAGCAACAATAAAGGCTATTTCCATAGCAATTCACTAAGAGCTCTAATTTAGACACACCGATATGACATAGTGTTGCAACGGAATGGCTAGCTAAAGAAAATGGTTGGGCTACTGGACGTATTCGACCAGCTCATTCAAACACCTTTTAAAATTGAATCCAAGAGGTAGATCCAAGAAGAAGAGAAAAAGGGAGAAAATATGGAAGAAGAAAGGTGCACCGAGCAAAAAAGAAGGGGGATGGAAGGCCAGGGCCCTGGACTAACTCCAGCTAATGTTGCCGACGCCGAGAGGGCTTGAGATGAGAGTTTGTAGTCATTGGTTGAAGGCGGCCCCGGTTCCACCACATTCTCGGCCATTTTTAATTTTTTCGGAGATACAGGCGAGAAAACGAGAATCTCGGGAAATCTCTTCTTTCTTCGGTTGGCCTCCCCCCGCTCCCCTGGGGTTTAACGGGCCGGCCCCTGAAGGGGGGGGTGGGTGGGGAGTTCCTTTTTCTCTTCTGCCGGGTCGCGGTGGCTGGGAAGAGGGATGCGGACTCGATAGAAAGGTAGGGGCAGGGGTCAGGCCTGGCCCAGTCTGAGGAGGGCACAGGAAAGCACAAACTGCCGAGCGCGCGTCCGGGGTTGCGGCGAATTCCCGAGAACTGTGCTGGCTCTAGAGGCGCAAGTCCCTGCCCGCCATTGGCCGGCCCCTCGCCCAGCCGATCTCGATTCGCTGCCGCCATCAGCCCTCTTTTCCTCCCGGCGCTGTCCTCCTCCTTCTCATCGCCACAAGGAGGCGGGGGCGAAAGGGGGAGAGGAGAATTGCATTCCTCCCCTCCCGGTGCCCCCCCTCCCGGACCTTGCGCCCCACCTCCGAGCTCTCCTCCCACCGCCAAGCCAGGCCCAAGTGCCGCTGCCGCCGGCCCTAATGGCCGCAGAGAGCTCGCCGAGAATAGGCTGGCGCCGCTGCCTCGACATCGCGTGGCGGAGGCGTGGCGAGGAACGCCGCCGGGCGCGGAGCTCGCCGGTCCAGAGGGTCGAGGGGCTGGCCGAGAAAGCGCCGCCTCCTGCCCGCGCCGCGCCGATGCCGAGCCCACTGAGGAGGCCCCTGCTCCGCCGGGCGGCGCAGTATGGCCTCTCCCTGCGCCGCGCAGGCCTCTCTTCCTCCCTTCGGGCCCTCCCCTCCTGCGCAGTGGCATTAACAGAAATAACATGGCCGGGCCAAGCATGGGCCCCACCCCGCGCACAGGTGCTGAGCGCCTGCCCTGGCCTGTTTGCCTGGCCCCCTCGGTGGCGGGAGTGAAGGCGTCAGTGCGCGGGAGGACAGTAATGGTCCCCCACGACGCTGTCTTGGCCGGGCCGCGGTGGGGTGGTGGACGGAGGTTGGTCGCCCCGCCCGTGCGCCCCGGGCCCCTCGTCAATTGTCTCTGCCCCCGCTGCCTGTCTCCGTCTGGTCAGCCTGCACTCTGTCTCAGAACAGCACTCCGCCTCGGCGTCCTGCTTGCCCACTCGCCTGCCTCCTCTCGCCCCTCCTCCCCCCCCCCCCCCCCCCCCCTCCCCCCCCCCCCAGCCTAGCACACAAACAAGATGGCGGCTGTTGTTTCTTTCCTCTGCCGAACTCTCCCCAGGCTAAAGGTAGCAGCATGGCGGCCGGAATGAGCCAAGGGGGTAAGGAAAGGGAGGGGTTGGGGCTCCTCCTGAGGAGGGGGCGGGGTCTGGGTCTGAGCCGCCGCTGCCGTCACACAATGGGGGTGAAGAGAACCAAGTGAGCCAGTTCCACCATCACACTGGATCCGCCCAAGGCCCCAACGCGGTTGGCGCTTCCGCAAACTCCCCCGGCGTCACCCGGTGGCTCCCTTGGGAGGACTCTGCTGGGCGGTTTGGGGGCCGACTCGGGATCTATTTTCAGTCGGTGGACACTTGCGGGGGAAGGTGCCTGGGTTGGGTCTCTGCGTAGGGGAGCGGTGGGAATTGGGGGTGACGGAGTCCGGGAGCTACGCCGGGGAAGGCGCCAAGTCACCGCGCAGGTGGCCGAATGGGAGTGCCGTGGGGATAGCCCTGCGTCCATGGCCCTTGGGCGGTCTTCCGAACCCCGGTTGAATCAACCAGGCAGGGGGTACTCCGTCGTCGGCCAGTGTCGTAGGCCAGAGACCCAGTGCATCCTCGCTCCATCGCTTTTCCGGAGGGAACGTCTCACATCCAAAAAATCACACTGATGATGAGTTGTTTCCCTTTTCTCCAAATTTTACAATTTGTTTTACAATAAGCCTTTATTATTTTGGTAATCAGAAAACAAAAACCGCAGCAGTGGAAAGACGCTTTAGGACCAGACCTAAATTTGTTTCTTGCCCACCACGTGTCCACTCGCTCCTACAGGGTTGCACTCTCACCAAAGGAGACTTGAATTCTTTTTCTGAGTGCATCTGAGACCTGAAGACATTTTATGGTACTACTTTTCACCCACCTCCAGTAGGCTAGGTTAGTAAAAGCCCACCGTCTAGGTAGTACCTTAAAGATAATGTAGATATGGGCAAGGGCAAAAACGTAAGGTGCTAAAGATAATCTAAGCACGGACAAAAGCAAAAATGTAACTACGAGGAAAATTCTTGAATATAAATAAAGTGTGTGTGACAACACAGTTTTGCAGAGGAGGGCCTCGCTAGCATGCTTTCACATTCCTACACATCACAGGATTCCACTGTGTTTGGCCTTGGGTAAATTGGTACTTGAGGAGGTGGCAAGGTTGTTAGTGTTTCCCCAAGGAAACCCCCAAACCAGTATCTATGGAGATAGTTTAAAGCGTTTCACTCATTTTAAATCTCAGGCTCCTTAGTTGGTGTTTGCTTATTGTTGAGTTTACTTTGTTGTTGTTTTTGTTGTTTATTCTTTAAAGTGAACGATGAAGAGAATGAGCCAGGAGTCAGGTATTACTGGAGCAACCCAGGTTGCCAACAGGGATGACTTCTGTCCTGTGATGTTCAGGCCTAATTCACCCCTACTGCAGTGGAGAAGCATTTTTTGCGAAGATTAAACATGATCATTTGTGGATAACACCATAGTAATTGGCACACAGTAGCACTCAATACCTCAATACAGCTTAGCTGTTCCTAGCCATTCCTTCTAAAATTAAATAGAAAAGGGCTCTACTAGATGTGGCCGCAACAAAGTTTTTCCCAAGCACTTGTTATCAAGGGAAGAAGTCTTCACAAACTTGGGTTGCTCCTGCAAATGTGAATGTGGCCGGGTTTTGAAAGTGCCGCATATCCGTGCAAGGAATTATTGATTTATATACACTTCCAAAATGTTAGTGTTTGTAAGAAAATACTTTTATTTCTATTCTACATTTAATAAAATCTGTTCCTGAAAAAAATTTTAGTAGCCCATATCGGCAAGAGCATGGAGAATTGGTATTTTCATACACTATTAGTGGGGATAGAGTAGAGAACAAATATTTAGATTCATGCCAAACGCTTATAGATTTTGAAAATCCCAGTATCTCTTGAATGTTTTCTTTTTTTTTAATTTTTTTTTCAACGTTTTTTATTTATTTTTGGGACAGAGAGAGACAAAGCATGAACGGGGGAGGGGCAGAGAGAGAGGGAGACACAGAATCGGAAACAGGCTCCAGGCTCTGAGCCATCAGCCCAGAGCCCGACGCGGGGCTCGAACTCACGGACCGCGAGATCGTGACCTGGCTGAAGTCGGATGCTTAACCGACTGCGCCACCCAGGCGCCTCTTTTTTTTTTTTAACATTTGTTCTTGAGGGTGGGGTGCAGAGAGAGGGAGACACAGAATGAAGTGGGCTCCAAGCTCTGAGCTGTCAGCACAGAGCCTGACGCGGGGCTCGAGCTCACAAACCACGAGATCGTGATCTGAGCCGAAGTCAGACTGAGCCACCCAGGTGCCCCAATTTTTTAAAATGTTTAACATATTTTTTACCACAAAACAAAACAAGCAATGAAACAGCCTTGCCATGATGGGATATCATGCCGTCATTTAAAAACGAGCAGGTATGAGGTGCCTGGGTGGCTCAGTTGGTTAAGCGTCTGACTTCAAGTCAGGTCATGATCTCACGCCTTGTGAGTTCGAGCCCTGTGTTGGGGTCTGTGCTGACAGCTCAGAGCCTGGAGCCTGCTTCCAATTCTGTGTCTCCCTCTCTCTGCCCCTCCCTTGCTCATGCTCTGTCTCTCTTTCAAGAATAAATAAACATTAATAATAAAAATAAAAATGAGCAGGTAGGTGTTGGGTTGGGGGGATGGGCAAAGGGCATTAAGGAGGGCACTTGGTGGGATGAGTACTGGGTGTTATCTTTAAGTGATGCATCACTAAATTCTATTCCTGAAATCATTACTACACTATATGTTAACTAACTTGGATGTAAATTTAAAAAAAGAACAGGTAGATATGTACTATCATAGAAAGATATCCATATATTGCTAAGGACAAAAAAAATTATAACACGGCAGGTCTAGAATGGCTCTACTTTTATAAATGTAATTAATATTAATAATGGATTGATTGGAAGCTGAGAGGATATGCACCAAACTTTCAACAGTGTTGGAGTAAGAGAAGTGTTACGGGGAGCTTTCACTCTACGTTATATATGTTTGTGGGGCGTGAAATCAGAACTAAAAACATTTTTTTAAAAAGCCTTCAACGGTTCCTCTTTGCCCATAGGATAAAGGTTCATGTACAAGCAATGGCCCTTGTCTACCTGTCTCATTTCTCTCAACTTCCCTCCTTGCAGCAAAATGGAATTATTTCTATGCTTCTTGTGCCCATGCTCTGTCTGTCTTTGGGACATTCACACATAGTCCTTCTGCCTGAAACACCCACCACCCCCACCTCTTTTGTCCACCTAATTCCCAATCACTCAGGTCTCAGCTTACACATCCCTTTTCCTGTAAAGCCCTTCCTGATCTCCTTGAATCCTGGTTGCAGACCTCTCCCCTGCCCTCCCATGGCAAGCATCCTATACTTCTGAATCGACTCCATTTCACACTGTGTTATAGTTCTCGTTAGCCTTTTCTGGTGACATCAGGAAGGGTGACCGTGTTGTCCATCTCTCCCTCTCCCAGCTCCTAACTCAGGACCTGATGCATGAGCAGGAGAGGAGCAGAGAGAGGGGGAGAGAGAATCACGCACAAGCAGAGGAGGAGCAGAGAGAGAGAATCCCCAGCAGGCTCTATAGCCCAACGTGGGGCTGGCACTCACAAACCATGAGACCATGACCTGAGCTGAAGTCAAGAGTCGGACACTTAACGGACTGAACCACCCAGGCACCCCTCAACTCAAACTTCTTGAACAAACGACTAGATACCATCAATTTGTCAATCTGGTCTGAGTGTGTGGGTCTCTTTGTCCATCCTTTTAT